TTATTAATAAAATACAACACTAACCAGCACTAAAAATGAATTGTAGAAACATTTAGCCTTAATATCCCTTTGGAAGTACCCTAACGGTGTAATGTCGTCTTGAAACAGCTATGATAGTCATATAAATACATTTTTCACGGTACATAAAGAGCTTTGACATTATTCATATCGGTTTGAAATCTCCATTGTTATTTTTTCCTTATTCGGGTAGCTGGTAAGGACGCGGGTCGATACACCATTTGATATTTCCGTTTTGATAGTATTGCATCCGTGACGTATCAATGACGCAAGACGCCATCGGAGCCGCTAAACGAAACTCGGCGCTCGCGCTCAGCGTTCAGTCCCCGCCGGTTAACCGCCGACTGTGGTATGCGTTGAAACGCGCGAAAGTCGAGACGCGTATAATACTTTTTTTTTTTTTTATAATTCGTATTCCGTGTACCGCGCGTAGGTTTTAGAAAGGACAGCCCATATCCTTTAGCACCTGTTTCGGATAACCTCTTTACATGTAAGTATTATGAAGTTTATATCACAATGAGGATATATTTTAATAATATAATTATTTATATTTTAAGTATTTTTTTTTAATTAAAAAATTTTTTTGTAACTTGAATTATTTCAGTAACTATCGAACAATTTTAGTTTTTTGTTGCGAAAACCTGAAACAAATTACCTATAATTTTATGTCCGTATTTTTTAATTATGTATAGGTACGCACAATATTAGTAATTACGGCAATTTTAAGACTGGATTAATTTTTAATTAAGTATAAAATTGTATAATGTAGCAACTGAATACATTTTTTCTATATTGAAATGTATGCTATTATTATGTACATATATATTGGATGCTAAAAAAAAAACATATCTGCACGGACAGGTTTTGAAGGTAATAAAAAAGTTTTTATTATTTATACGTACTAAATTTAATATTTTTTTAATTTACCAAGTTTTTTTTTATTTTGTTGCACGTATGTATAATATTTTTTCTTATTATAATATAGTTTCAAGTGTTAATGTAAATTATCTTTTTATGTGACATTTCGCATACTTTTCCTGTCTCCCTATGGACTTGAGTATTTAGTAAGGTCAGATAATTATTTTAATTCTTTAATATAATACGGTAATGACTGAGCCACGACCTCATTCCCTCTAGATTTGCTTGTATGTTATGTTTAATTGTAAAAATGTATTAGAAAGTGATAATTAAATTTAGGTTTTGAATGTTTTTTTTAATCTATTCACTATAGTCGTACTATTGAATTATATCGCATAATTTAACACAAAGTAAACAAGTGGATAATAATAGAGCAACAATAGTTTTTGTGTACATATGCAAAGTCTTCGTTTTTTTTTGTTTTATTCTAAAAAAAATTTTGTGAGTCAATTCTATCGGTTCGAGGAAAAATTTAAAAACAAATAGTATATTGATTAGTGATTACGCTGTAGTTCGTTTGAATATAATTCGTGAATCAGGTTTCACAACTTAATCGATACTTTGTTTAAAAAAATAATAATCTCCGCTATTTGGATCAATATAAAATCATTGTGATTTTATATACGTCACCTTATTATCAATCATTAAGCTTTTTAATAATGTTTTTAAATTTTGACGTTAAAAATGATTGTTTCGTCTAAGACGAATTAAAAGTTTTGTTCTTCGCTGTTCTACAAACATCACAGATATGTAACTTCTAACGTTTCTAAGAAAAATAAACTAACATACTGACTATAGTGAAAATATTCATCTAATATTATATAGGTATTAACTGAACCCAACAAAGTTCATTATTAAGTGTTAATGTTGAATAATTAAACTTCGATTAATCATTAATACAAATAATATTCACATTAATTGTCACTTTTATACGACAATATATTCAGAATTGTATGTAAATTGTAAAAAAAAAAGAACACGCTTTATATAGCATACTTCGAGTGTAAGTCTTGTTAATTTTTGCTGATAATTTGTAAAGAAAGCGATTGACATACATCTTCCAAGAACACTGTTGTGTAACACAATGAGCTCTAAGATAGACTGCTCGTAGAAGATCTTTGTATATATGTAAACATATATAACTTGTATGTAATTTATTAAATATATATATAAATTTTTTCCTCATTCCGCATAGCATTAACACAATATTCACTAGTATGTATTTGTTTTATTATGTATATGAAGTAAACATATGATTAATTCTATGAATTTGTGAAGAACATGTTGAAAGCAACTTTTATGTTATACCCAATCTCTCAAAATGTATAGCAACTGTTCAAACTTTTAATATACCTCGTCCCGTCTTAAGAAATTCCAGTCATCAAATATTTGACATACATTTTATAAAGTCTAAGCGAGAGTATTATAGAAAATATAAAGTAGGTCAATAAACTTCACCCACATCTATTAAAATTCTATACGCTCCAAATATTATAACAGTTATGTAAAGCCGTAGGAAATTTTTATTTAGTAATTGTTGTATTATAAAATAGTTTCTGTTTACTTCATCTTAGAACACTTGTACGACTATTCTTATGTTATATTTTCTCGTTTCCTTCGAAGGATATATGATTTATGCTCAACCTGTTTAAACTATTAGTTTGCATATAATTATTTACTCTGAATCATTATATCGTATGTTTAAATAACGAATATATTATAAAAAATAATACTAAGTTATGTTTGAAGTAGAAATATGTATTTTTTTCCCTTTACGACATACTTATATTGCAGCTACAAGTCTTGAGAAACATTAGTTTTACCCAACCGTTCTAATACACGCTTCTGGAAAAATTATTATTTCGATGAAATAATTTTCAGTCAGCTGTTGTAATTTGTGTTTTTTAATTGTGCTGCCCTGGTTGTTATTCACCTTCAGCGATCGTGTGAAATTATATTTGAATATATTATATACATCGGTGTGGAGCACGTAACGTGTGTAACGCAATGTTTGAGAACGTTCTATGGGATGCGTGGTAGGGGGGTGGCTGTGCCAGTAGGTCAGTGGTTCCGCAGGGCGGGTGATTCTCTTTTGCAACGTCCTTACGTAAAGAGCAGCGCCCGCGCACCACGCTCGCCAGAGGTGAAAGTTGTCAGCGATAATGGCGCGACTAAAAAAAATACTGTCACCTGTTCTTTAACTCGGTAATTCTTATTCTCAAAACGGCGTTATCCGCTGACCTCGTTGCGTAATCAAATAAAGGCGTTATATTTGATAACAATTAGCGTTAAATAATGCAACATTACCTAAATATTTCGAAGTTTCCATATATCTCTTATATTTTTTTACGTTCTCTTAAAGTATGTAAGTCGTAAAATCTGTTAATGGCGTAACTGTTGACGTATTTTGTAAATTCGATGACGATTTCGTTGCAAAAGTTTTATTGTATAGTAGACATTATTTAACGGCTACATTAGACTCGCGTTAACCGACTGTTAAAGACGAGTGTAATGTATATTTATAAATTGAATGATGATACATAAGTATTAAATGAAATATTTGTATTAATAAAAGCATTTATTTAATTTGAATGTATTTAATTATTTAATACATGTTATGTATGATAAAATAATAATAGTATTTAGCTGAACGTGATATTGTAACAAACAAACAAGCATTATTCAGTGGACGTGCCTAAAGACATCGTCTTAACTACGACTTGATTATAAATATTGTGATGCTGACATTACTTATTTAATAATATTTATTATTGTATGACGTACGTTCACGAATTATATATATTCCAAATACTATATATGTATATATATGTTATATAATAGTTTAAATTCTCTATATATTATGTACATACATACATTCTTCATACGAGTGATAACTCGTGTGTTTCTGTTGTGACATATTCTTGCGTGAGAATGTACATGTCGCAGAAAGTGGGTTGATACCATTTTTTATTATAATATATTAATGACATAACATACATACATACGTCTCCTAAGAATGCACTGAAACCAAGTAGCATAAATGGTAAAGTTTGTATGGATGTTTGTTGCACTTTAAAACAAAAACTACTAAATGTATTTTGATGTAACTTTAACAATTATCTAGGTTGAATATGAGAGAGAGGCGTGGACTATAATTTATCCTGAAATTCCGTAAAATTACCGCAGAATAACAGCTTTATAGTTATATTATGTGTAAGGTCACGTTACTCCAAATATAGACTAGTCACTAACTTGTTTCTCATATGTATTGTATTAATATTTAATACACTTGATAAAATTCACTCTGTGCCTAATTCCTAAAGAAGCAGACAAAGTCGCAGGCAGAAACTAATATATTGTATATATAATAATGTTTTTTTTTTTTGCAATTGCACGTTCTGTCCTCTTCCTTGTTTTTAAATGCGTAATATTTTATAAGTATTGCATTTGTTGTAACTATGTACTTAATTAATATGTGACTATGGAAAAATATTTTTTAATTTTTTTTTTATATATTATCGTCATATTATTTTTGTTTACAACATTCTTAAATACATACAAACTTTTAATTGGCTGCTTTTTTATATCGAATATTTGCATATCCCTAAAGATAAGAAAAAAATACAACAAAAACGTTAATTAATTTAATAATTTCCATAATTATATTGTTTTTTTATTTTTGTTTATAGTTACACATAATTAAAATTTGAACAAGCCCATATATTATGTAATGAATTTGATAAAAAAACAACTTTTTAAATATGTATATAAATAAGTTTCCCTGTATATTTTTGAATGCTCTAATTATGACGTCATACTTCTAATTGGCGATACTTCATAGGGACATTTTATAAACGGAATGTTATTTAAACATGCTATGATAATTTTAATATATATATTAATACATATTAAACATACCAACAATGGACTTTCATGTCACGAACTACCACACCTATGGGCTATGTGTGATCTAATAAAAAAATAGTGACATTACTTTATAAATTGTTCTTAATAAGTTTTTATTGTTTCAGATACATTAGTCGTTAAGAAAAATCAATCCAAAGATGGAGAGCATAAACTCTTGGTACAGAGACCTCTTGGATAACAGGGCTGGTGAGTTTCTTACAAAAATATTGTATTTATATAAATTTATCCAACATAGAAGTAAATACTAAGCTTTATAACATTGTATATCATTTGTATGGGATGATATCGAAGCTAGAATATTGCAAACTCAATGAATTCCTTTTATATTATGATACAAACAAAATTATATCGTTTCTTGTTTTTGCTACTTAATTTTTTCATTCGTTACTTCAAATAGAAGTTTGAATTTGTTAAAACTTAAGAAAATAGTGATAGAAATGTAATAAAAATAAGTATTTGTTTAAAGCTATATTTGCTTTAAACCCTATTAGGTGTAATTTCTTTAGGGAGCCATTAATGTTGAATTACAAATAATTTATAGAAAATACTTGTATAATATTTGGTTACTGCAATATTTCCATCAATTATATTTTATTAAAGACAGATATTTATTTGATATAAATATAAAATTTATTTTATATCGCCAACCTGTAAAATAATCATCTTTTCGTGATTTAAACCTATTTAACGTCAAACCAACGCGGTCGATGACCCCATAGATTATGTTTGTACTGTGTTATTTTAGTAGCATAAAGAAAAATTAAGCATTCACCCCCAATCATTAAAACGCGAATCGGCTAATAGTTCTTTGAACCCAACATGTATATTTTTTATGAACATTGTTGTCAAATTAAATTGTAATTTAATTTTATTAACTGAATTGTATATCTGTTAAATGTAGTAGTTTTAACTTGAAACTATCGCTAGTACAGACCCGCTAGAGATTTGCTCAACTCGAATGTTACGTAAAGTATTACAGAGTGATCTACTGGAGCGTCGCTGCAGCAACAGTCGTCTATTATGTCATCACACGATAGCCTTCGTAAATTTTCACCTTGGCCCTGAAATCGTTTTTTTAACATACTTTCTCTATTGTTATTATCGCCACCTGATTTCAGCTTGCGTTATTGTTGTCGAACGCTTTGTGAATATGTACCTGTTCTGTTACGGTTAGATCGATATCTCATTAGTATTGTATATGATCGCGATACTGTCGAGATTCTATAATACGTCATTCAGCGTTTTAATTTTGAAAGCAAATAGAAATAATCACTACTCGTATTATTAACAATTCAATTGACTTTGCTATATAGTTAAATATTTTTTATTAGGTATCTAGTATGAAAAATAAAGTTATGTATATATAACAAATCAACAAACGATAAAAATATATTGTAATTATGTTTGACATTAAATAAGGATCTAGACTTTACGAATTTTCATATTGACATGTTGATACGTGTGTCAGAGACATAAGTACAGGAATTGAGTTTTTATTTAGTTTTATGTTATTTTAAATGTATTATAATATAAGCTTGAAATAAATATTAGCTTTTTGCACTCTTCACGTTAGTTTTTGTATGTTTTGTAAAAGAAATATATATGTTTTTACATGAAATATGTATATGTATGTAACATTGGAATCGTGATGACACCCTCCAGATGTATGTATATGTGGTAATAAAGTAAATAAATATGTATTATGACGCATTTAGATACTTCAGATTCATATAGGATGCTGAATGAAGTGTTGTTTAAATTGACTAAAGTGGTTTTTACACTGAGGTTAAAATTATTTAGCAAATATTATTTCATATTTACAAAATACCCTTTTTTCCACTGAATTTTGCCTCAAGACACAACTATCTTGCTGTCTCAAAACGTACATATCCCTATCAATATTATAAATGCGAAAGTAACTGTGTCTGTCTGTCTGTTACGCTTTCGAGCCAAAACCACTGAACTGATTTTAATGAAATTTGCTACAGAGATAGAGTTGACCTTGAGTAAGAACATAGGATAATTTTTATCCCAGACTTTTGAAAGGTTCTCTTGGAAACGCGATATAACTGAACTCCACGCGGACGAAGCTGCTGGCGGAAAGCTAGTTAGAAATATATCTATTCTATCATGATTGTAAAAATTTCAATAGAACTATGTTCCTTTGTAAATGTTTTATGATTCAAGACTGTCGAACAAGTGACATTGAACCGCGTATGGTTTTAATGCTCGCAAATTATAGTAAACCCGAAAATAATGTGTCACCTCTGTAGTCGACCTTCTACATCTAGCCTTCATGATTTGACTTATCAATATTGTATTTAATATCCTCTTAATTCAGAAAATATCTTTATTAAATCTACTAGTTAATGCTCGAAACTTCGTTCGCTTGAACTTCGGTATTGTGTTCAGAGAAAAATGTATGAAATATGTTAAAACAATATCTATCCCTACTAATATTATAAATGCGAAAGTAACTCTGTTTTAACTAGTTTTTATCCCAGACTTTTGAAAGATTCTCTTGGAAACGCGATATAACCGAACTCCACGCGGGCGAAGCTGCGGGCGGAAAGCTAGTAGTCTATAAATATAACTAATATATGAACGGCAGCGACATCTATAGACACATATCTTAATGCTAAATACAAATGAATTCCAATATAAACTAAATATTGTATTTATGTATATTAAAATATTATGTGATCTCGTTACTCGTAGGATTTAAACAATTTGGCGGAAAATTTACTACTACATATTATATGGATTTTTTAAATTAGAATTATATTACGAGAAAATATAGACATTACAAAGAGATTAGGATTGATATAAAGAACAGGGAGTATTAAATGACAATACTCTCTTATAAAGGATAGAAATAAAAAATTCTTCCTTTGATGTCTAAGCTAAATCCGTGAAGTGGTATTAGCAAAAGACCGATAAATATCCGTAAAATCATACCTCATAAATTTTCTCATTTATTTTTTTATTAGTGTATTTAATATTCGTCAATCAAAGACATAATGTGTATGCCTTTAAGATGTTAGGAATGAGTTTTTACCTGTATATGTACATGGATTTTATAAAATACTCAAGTAATTCTTATTGACAATTTTATTTACCTTTTTAAAAATTAAGTACCTATTTACTCCACAAAGTAATGTAATCAAAATTGATTAAATTAGTATTTTCAATCTAACGATTTATTTTTTCATTTTCCATTTTATTTACTTTGAAAATAAATGCTCCTAATTTATTTACGATTTTATTTGTACTTGGTATCGATAATTATATTTTTAGTTAAAGAATTAACCATAATATAAGTAAAAACGATTTGTTAAAACTTTTTTCGATGATAACTGGTGGGATTTAAAAATTTTATATTATATGTATATATCCTCTCAGATTGTACTATGGTCATATAACAGCATCTGAGACTCAAGTATATAGAACTGAATGGAGCCAAGGTACTCAAGAGTACTGGTAGAAGGTCACCTTGGACACAAATCTATCATGACCTATATTATTATAATGAATTCTTGTTAATTTTCATAAATATACAACATTTAAGAGACCAAACTTAAACTGCACTCACTAAGATATTATAAAGAAATATTTACAATAATTTTCCTAACAAAATTTCTTGCATTTTTCTTGTTTCTTTGTTATGTGTAACATGTTTACGATTTTCGCGAATACATATAACTTGAAACATTTTTTTTATATACTACGCGGTATATTCAAAAAAACCTAGTTCATTATTTTTAATCTAATACCTATGATTTAAGATATTTTTCGTCTAAATCCAACAGAAAAATAATCTGTAATTTGGTTTTTTATTAACGAATAAAGTTTTAGGTTTTGAGTTAGACGATCAAAACTAGTACGTGAAAAAGCCTTTGTTCCTCTAATAAGAGCATAGCTTTTCTATGAATATGTTTATCTAAAGATATCATATTATGTTATATAGATTACATATGTACATAACATGTAATACACGAGTTTTACTATGTAAATGATTACATACACCACATTCATATATAAATATATATGTTTGTATGTATACATATATCTATCCAGTGTCATTAAGGATATTAAAAAACTATTTATATAGCTTGATAGAAAACGTATATTGTCAGGAACAGCTCTAAACTAGCTCTATACAGCGGAATGTTGATTCTTCTCAGAAACGTCAAGAAACTAGACTCTAATAGCGAAATTATACACTAAACTAGTTAATGACTAAAATGGATCACCTTTTATGCTCGAGATTAATTTCTTTTAAGGTTTAGAGATCTTTATTTTCCAAAAAAGACACAAAGTCACTTACATGGAAACAAAAAATTCAAGTAATATTAAATGTCTTTCTTAAGATATAGTTACATAACGAGTTGTTTTACTCATTCAATGTATTCAATTTACGAGTGGGTAGTTTTGTATAATATACAGGCACGCGTCCACACTTGGAACACTTGGAACGTGTCAACACTTTATTTATTTATACGGAAATTTTTGTCAAAAATTAAGTGCCTATTTTTTTTACATAATTCGAATGAGAATCATGTACCGAGTATTCTCCTTAAATATTGATAGTAATTCACCAGTCACCCTGTATATTTCTTTATAACCGATTTCGTGTGTCAACTTGAGTTAATAACTTGTGCATTTCTCCCAGATCCTCGTGTCAAAGATTGGCCAATGATGTCATCGCCGTGGCCAACGCTAGCGGCTTGCTTGTGCTACGCGCTCTGTGCTAAAAAAATTGGCCCAAGTTTCATGGCTAATAGAAAACCCTTCGAGCTGAGGAATGTTCTCGTCATTTACAACCTGGCGCAGACGATATTCAGTGCCTGGATATTTTATGAGGTATATATTATCCTAACGTAATCGTAAGATTTATCTTCGGAACATTCTCACATGTATGACAAATCAAGGTGTAGTTTTCTATGACTTTATCAATGATGAAAAAGGATTGCAAATTAATTAAATATTACCCTAAATGTTTTGCTTCTATATAAAATTTATTAGTTTTTTCCTTATAAAGAATCAAATAGGCATTAAATTGATTACTCTAGCTTTAAAGTTTTCAAATGTTCTGACCATATCCTCTCGGGTTTACCTTGGATTCATACATAACAAATATGTATTTCAACAGCCTCATTATGCAGCTTGTAAAGTATATAAATATATTATTATGTCACGAGGACATATCTAAAACGCGGCAATTAAACAAAAACCAAACAGTTTTATGTAAAACTATACAGTTCCTGTTTTTAATGATAAGCATAATTTGATATGTCACCTTGTATCTGTGAAATGCATATTAATAGTCTTGGAATATGTTGTATGAAAAATTTGTAAAGAAATATTGTCTGAATTAAACGAAATATAACTATTACTACCATGAGTTTCGTCAAAATCATTGAAAGTTACCTTTATACTCTAGTATGTTAAGATTAACGAATAAAATACTGAATACTTTTCGTTTTTAGTACAGTTCACTCATAGTAAAGGTACCGACTGAAAAAATATTTCATACAATTATGTTTTATCTAACAAAAGTTTCGTACAAATAACATTTTATATTATTTTATTTACCAATAATTTATTGTGTTTTATAATTATAATACTTTGAAATAAATAATAACAGTCAAGACTGACAAGAAAATGACCCGTAAATAATTTAAGAAAATTAAATATATATTAATGTGTCTTATCTACGTCATATATATTTGTTTAGAATTAATTATGTTATTGTCAATTCACGTGTGCTTGTAATGTATTTGTTCTGATAATGGATGTGCGACTTTTTATAATGTATGGAACTATATTTATATGCAAAAAATAAGTCTGATATACACGTTGAAATAAGTCGGATATACACGTTAAAATAAGTCGAATATACACGTTGAAATAAGTCTGATGTACACGTTGAAATAAGTCGGATGTACACGTTATAATAAGTCTGATATACACGTTAAAATAAGTCTGATTTACACGTTGAAATAAGTCGGATATACACGTTGAAATAAGTCGGATGTACACGTTATAATAAGTCTGATATACACGATCTATAATTAATGCACGCATGTGTATCACCAGCTTAATAATATCTATTTTATGTGCAGTACTTAGCAAGCGGATGGTGGGGCCATTACGATTTTAGATGTCAACTGGTTGACTATTCAAGGAGCCCTAAGGCTATGAGGGTAAGTTTAAATAAAACTTAATTTGTATGAATTGATAATTATTCTTAATCTTAGTCAATACATCTCGTCTGCCCGTGATAGTGGTTGCTGCAAAGTAACTGAAAAAATCGGGTGTATGTAGTTTTTAAAATAATAAAATAGGCGTAGTAATCCAGAAAAAAATAGTAACATTTATTTGAAAATTATTCATATTTTAGTTATAATGAGCACTGTTATTTTAAAGCACTTGAAAAATATTTTACAGTCGTTAAATAAATTTAAAAAGTAAAAAACATATAAAAATCGTCATAAAGCCTTCGAAACAAAATTCATAATTAGAATTATATATATTATTTGTTTTAAAAATAAATATATTAATTATAATTAAATAGTAAACAAAATTGAATTAATATCTCGTTTAATATCTTCGATCGAGGTCTCTAAGACCGTCCTTTATGTATTGGAACCGGATATTATATAATTAATAAAATTCGTCAATTGATTACATAATAATATTTACATAGATCTTATGACGTAAATACTGTTTGAATATCAAATAGAATACATATATTAATACTTGGGCAATACTTATAATTTATTTAGGAGTTTTTATGACAAGCCTATTAATACGTTTTAAAGGACTTTCTCCAAAAAATATAGATATTTTTTAATAAATATAAAAGCTTTATTATCTATTAGTTTGAGTGAGAAATATCTCCAATTACTGCCTACAAGCGACATCAGAATTTTTGATTGTAGTAAGTGGCTTAAGCGCCACATATCAAACGATGTACCAATTTGGATAAATTGGTTTAACCATTTTCCGGTTAGAGGCTAAATCTAACAACGTAATATACAGGTTAAAATGGAGAATTGAGAAATTATTGTTGTATTAATTTTGATTTATTATAGTTTATGTAACTATGAAGAAGTTTTTGGCATAGAAACGAGAATATATGTTGCCATATTCTACAATATGATTTTTTTATTTGAAGCCATTTATACTTTTTTACCTTCTCCTTGTAAGAAAGGCCTTTGCTCAGCAATGGGCTCTGATAGACTGATGATGATGTTTTTGTTAGATATAAGTTCTAAATACATTATAAATGCTTTAACAGATGGCGAATACATGCTGGTGGTACTACTTCAGCAAGTTCACGGAGTTCTTCGACACGCTGTTCTTTGTTTTAAGGAAGAAGAACGAGCACGTGTCGACGCTTCACGTCATACACCACGGCATCATGCCGATGTCCGTGTGGTTCGGGCTTAAGTTCGCTCCAGGTTTGTCCCGAGCCTTATACAGGGTGACTGGTGAATTGCTATCAATATTTAAGGAGAATACTCGGTACATGATTCTCATTCGAATTATGTAAAAAAATAGGTACTTAATTTTTGACCAAGTTTCCGTATAAATAAATAAAGTGTGGACACGTTAATCTGTAGATTGTTCACACGATGCGTAATTAATTACATAACTTTTGGTTAACTTTACTTAGAAGTTTATTAATATTTATGTTATATTAATTTTTATTTTGTCATATATGATCGTCAAATATCACGTCCTCAAATATCGATAGTAATTCACCAGTCACCCTGTATATGATTTTTTTTTGCTGCAAAAAGTTTGTATATATTTTATTTATCAGCCAGTTATATTAATATTACTGTATGTTAAAAAGGAGTTGCATATTAAAATCGATTCAAGAATGTTAACACATATTCTATCGACAAGTCATGTTAGCATTACTTTAAAGCAAAAAGTTTCTTCTTTTCAGAAGACTTATTTCAAGTCGTCTTGAGAATTATTTTATGTACATAATGATGGACGTTTTGATAATTTTTTTGTCATTCAATATTCCAATGCGGTTTTTGTGTGATTTTTTATTAATTTTTCGTAATTTACTTTGACGTGTTGCAAAGTATCGACTTTTCAAATATAATTAAGAGGCAAAAAATTTTTATAACCACAGATTATAATAAAATTTGTATACGTTTAATAAAAGTTGGCAGGTTTGTAAACAAGGTCTGAAAGTAATGTATTATAAGAATGTTCGCTTAACCTCTAATCTTGAATCAATTAAATAACTTTATTAACATTATAATTAACTTTATCGTGATACCGGTCTTGTGGATATTTATTTGTATATTTTCTTTTTAAATTGCTAGTTTTACTAACATATAGTTAGAAAAAAAAATAAAAAATGCTCCATAATTCAAACTATATATAGTTATTCATATACATATTTATGAATATGTAGTGTAGTATAAAATATAAACTTAATATTATTTTGTAATACTTTGACGTCATTTGATATATATTAAAATTATAGTTTATTTTTGAATAATTAATTAATGTTTAAAAAACTTGTCTCATTATAAACATATCATTTTGTGGTTGGAAAAATACACAGATAACTTCTTACACAGATCCATATACATAATTGACGTATTTAGAACAGGTTAGGTTCTCGTCTGAACCTCTTCTAACTTGTTTACTCTATGTCTTAAACTCACCTGTAATATCTCGTTATAAAACATATTAACTGCTTTTTAAGCCGATCTGTGATATACTAGAAATAATTTTATGAGTCTAGAATGTTCTTTTAATATCAACACATACTAATCGTACACGTATTTAGGAACTATTTACTATCCAAATATATTTTGCTAACGAGAGAATTATACGAAAAGCTGTTTGAAATATTCGATTGTTCTTTTTTTAAATTATTTGTAAGTCTTCATTATCAAAAGAGGTTTTATATAAATTGTTTTTTTATTTTTATCAGGTGGTCACAGTACTTTCTTCGCTCTGCTGAATACTTTTGTACATATCGTCATGTACTTCTACTACATGGTGTCGGCTATGGGACCTAAGTATCAGAAGTATATATGGTGGAAGAAGTACCTCACCGCCTTCCAAATGGTAAGACATTTAAAATGAGCCTTAAATATATTATACATAATGATTATTTTGCTATGAAATTAAAATGAATATGACATACCCTCTTTACACGTGTTTGCAATATAAAAGAAATGCTTCCATTCTTATAGGAATGAATATACTTCAAGTTACTATTTTGTATGATTGAATAAGAAACGCGTGCATATAAAAAAAAATTAAACCGGGAATCCCCTTATATAGTGCCAACGTTAATTTCACATCCAACAGTATAATTCAAGCCCGACCTAAAAAAAAATATTCTCTCCAGCGCCGTCACAATACGTTCTCATTTGTTATTTTCATATCCGAATGCATTTTTTTTTGTTCCTCGCCAGCGTAATTCTCTACATTGTGATCTGAAGTGTGAGTTTCGTAAACAATGGCCAGTAAAATTTTCAGTTTCCTACCGTTTCAGAAGCTTTATATAGTTTATTATTATTTTTTCTACACCAGAATGTATTAATTAAACCGGATCAATTTATTCTGATTTATTGTATAACAATCTTATACGTAATTAAGGACGAGAGAAAAAATTGAAGCAGCAATTGAGTTTCAATAGCAATTGTATCGGATGAAGTCATGCAACTTAATATAGGAAATAAGATGTTAGTAAAAATATATAATTATACGTAATTTGCTGATAGTACCTTTAATTGTTCTATTAAGCAATAGCACATACAATGGAAACAGTAAAAAATGAAATTAAATACTGTAAGTGAAATGAGGGTAGTTTTATAGCGGATTTTTATTAGTCATGAAAATTGACAAAGTTGCAATTTATTAATGGCTACTGACGACATTTTAGAGACTTTATCACATAGTAAAATCATTTTTAAAAATATCGTAAAAAAGTAAATATGTATATTTTTAAAAAAAAGAATAAATTGTATAAAGTGTTCATAAAATAATATAAAAATTAAATGCATCATTACAAAACAAACTGCCTGTATAGAATACAAGTTGAGTTCAAAATAAATAGATACATAAATCAAAACATGAACTGGTCGTATGAAAATGTTACAATCAAATAACAAAACAATACTTGCATAATCTTCTATATATATAAAAATGGATTGCTGTTCCTTAGTCTCGCTAAAACTCGAGAACGGCTAAACCGATTTGGATAATTTTAGTCTTGAAATACTCCTGGAAGTCCAGGAAAGGTTTAAAAGGTGAGAAAAATTGGAATAATTGCCGGGAAAACCCTAAAAACAGCCCTTTTCTATTTCCCATACAAACGTTTTTTTTGACATTAGATTTGACAACTAACTAATATGTCAATCATTCTGTTTGATTGAAACAGGAAAAACCTGATTATTTATGGCCTCTAAGACGGAATAGAGTTCGCCTGGTCAGCTATACCTACATATATCACTCTTGACCAAACTAACGCGGACGAAGTCGCGGGCAAAAACTAGTAAAACAATAAAGGGCTATATACAAAACTTTGAACTAAATCACAAAAAAAGGTTAGGTCCGTCATACAAAACGAGAACCGGTTGTTTACAAAATATTTAAATTAAATTACAAAATAAAATGTTGCATCGATAAAAAAATTATGGCTGTATACATGAGTATCGAATGAAACGAGATTCGTGATTAAAAAAATACTGGCTGGTTGTAAAATTTAAAAAAATAAAAGGGCTGAATAAAGAAAATTCAAAATTGGAACGTATATATAAAGGCGTGTTTATTTTCCAAGTAAAATTTAAAAAAATAAAAGGTTTGCATTCTTAATTCAAAATTAGAATGTATTTAAACGCGTGTTTATTTTCCCAGGTTCAGTTCGTGTTGATCTTCAGTCACCAACTGCAAGTTTTGTTCCGTCCTTCGTGTCAGTACCCGCGAGTCTTCGTCTATTGGATAGCGATGCACGGCTTCTTATTCCTATTCCTCTTCAGCGACTTCTATAAAGCGAAGTACAACAGGAGCGGAAAGAAAAAGACCACAAACGGTCTCTGTATGGTGAGTTATATAACATTTTTCTAGAAAATACTCGTAGTAAAGCTTCTTATTAATATACTATATTAATTATTATGAAATATTCGATTTATACATATTGAAGGACGTTGTCAAACATTATCGAGATGAATTGATATACAAGTGTATTTTTTTTATTTTATCTTCCAATCATAATAACCTTGCTATAATAGTCATCTTTATTTATTTTTTATAAAAAAGAGAATTTTTGTTTCGCTTCACAAATATGCTATGTTTATTTAATTTGATAAATAGGAAGTAGGTATGTTTGAATCGAATTAATTTGAAAAATCATCCGACCTTGTACATCTTAGCGAATCAAAGGCCAAGTGCGAATTATAGAAATAAATAGAGGTACAATAAAATTATTAAAAAAATAATCAAATACAAAATCCTCAATATATGTGATGATATGCGGAGGTCGTTCTTATATTCATTATAATAATATTTGTATACAGATTCTATTGAATGGACATTGTAGATCTCTTAAATAATTAATATAAATTGTTTCGTTTTTTTTTGGATATGAATAATTTTTTTGTCGTCTCAGGAAACGAATTTCATTAACTTTATTATAAAACATAAACAATACTTAAATGTAACGTAAACATATATAAATATTACCAGAGTGACCTCGAACAAATAAATATATCATTTAATAAATAGGTTCCATTAACAAACCTTTAGGCACACATTAATTGTTATAAAATTATTTATAATTAAAACACGCATAGCTCTTATTTATCCATTGAATATTTATTTTAAAAGATTATCAAAATGAATAGATTTCTTTTTGTTTTGTAATGTGACATTAATTACGTAAATACATTGAAGTAGAGACTTACGCAATGAGAGACTATCGTAACACCCTGTGTATGAACCTTTTAAGCTTTATAATTATTAGACATTGTATGAAGAATCAAAATAATATCTAATATAACAGATATTAATGATATATTTATATTTTTATAGGTATATATATTAATATAAGTATATTTTTTTATTCCAGACGGTAATGGAGGACAGTTGTATAAGCAAGAACGGTTACAAACACGAGGAGGGTTCAGTACCTAATTCATACGCTTCATCAGCGGCTGACGCCTTCGTAAGACGAAGACCTGTCTCATAGAAGAACACCGTTCTCATAGAAGAAGACCGGTCTCATAGAAGATTTATACAACATACGCCCGTTGAGAATCCCGTACCTTTGACTTGAAGACCGTTCATTATATTTCTATTTCACTCACATTTAACGGTGTTGCGTTAAATGTTTAACCATCATACTGTCGGTGTTAAGTTGATCGTGCAACTCGTATTTGTTACATTTCTTTCTCTCATCCCTCCGGACATTCGAAAACATATCTGACGTCATCACGCCGTTCGGAAATGACGTCACATGACGTCACCACGACACACCGTTTGACGCCGCGCTTCTAGTATCTTCTAGTGTTTATTCGTAAATGTTAGCAGTTGAGTTGTTTTCTTGTATGAATTATATAGGAATTACATTCAAAATGGAACCGGTTCGTGTATATACATAGCGCACGGCGTCCGTAAAGACACTGAGAATTTTAACATCGAATGCCTTAAATTATTTTAAGTACAAAAACCTATTTACTAGAACTATTGAATTAATATTAATAATTAATGATCTTGTAAATTTATTAATCGGTTTCGGATATAAGTATTCTTATTATTTTTTCTTCTTTATCATATTTCTGTTTGTGTATTATTTTTAGTGATGGCAATGTCATCGGTGAGTTTCGTTCGCTTCGCTGTGGCGGTGCTTTGTGTAAATAAGATGATTGAATTGTGTTTTTTTAATAATAATCGCCTTTTATGTACAGAAATTCGATGGGTTTTCTTCTACTCTATTGTAATGTAAATATTTTTTTTTTTTGTATTATTTTAATCTCTCAATGTTACCATTACAGAACCAGTGTCATTTATAGTATGCGAACATATTATTTATATTTTAGAGCATTTATTGTATCACACGTTTGTATGGAACCCTGTAATTTTTCTATAAATATTAACGCTTTTTAATTATATTTCCACATGTGAAATGGATCACTAACATATTTATATTAATGAAATGTATTTGTAAGTTTAGCACGCGTTTTAATCGTGCGATAGAACGGGTTGAGTTGACATCGGCTTATTAGGGACGAATTATATGTAGATAAAAGGGATAATAGATGTTTAGATGTTGTAAAAGTTTTTATTATAACAATCAGTTTTACACTACGTCGGCTCGACTCGTTGCGGTGCATTTCCACCAATGACGTGTTGCTGGAGAATTAATAAACCAATGGGATAGCTGCATTTTTAAAATTTTAAAAATGGAATAATCCTATTGGTTGATTTTGTTTAATCGGGTTTAACTGCACGAATATTCATCTCCTATTGGTGGATATTTTACGTTCATATTGAATGAATTGCAAATGTCTGTTGGGGATGCACTTTAAACGGCATCAAGGGTAAGATAATTGCCGTGTCTTTATTTGTCACGTTCTGTTGTGCTTTCAATCCGCGCTCGCTATGGGCTGAAGTACAGTCTTCACTTGCTCAAATATTCGCTGCGAGTTCCCTATTTTGCAACCATTATTTATTATTTTAATAAAGTATTTTACAGAATGTTTGTTTAAATTATTCATACCTCGCTCTAGTGTTGTGTTGTGATAACATTTGACCGTCAAACTTCTTCCGCAATTAACGTTTGTCATACAGTTTAAAGTACGCACAATAATGTATCATGTGTTATGTTAATGAAACAAATACGGAATCGCATTTTTTTGCACATGCACTCATATTAAGAAGTTTCTAGACATGTCTCATTTAAATAAATTTTTAACATTAGAAGTGCTTTTAAACTGCATACAAGATTTTGTATTAATCAAATTAAATTGTTTCCATGTTAAATATATAACATACATCCTACTAATATTATGATTGCGAAAGTTTGTGAGTGTGTGTATGTTTGTTACTTATTCACGCTCAAACGGCTGAACCGATTTTGATAAAATTTTGTATACAGGAAGCTGAAATCCAGGAATAACACATAGGCTACTTTACATCCCGGAAATCCGCGGGAAGCAGCTAGTTATATATAAAATCATGTCGGTTTTACTACCGTGATCGGTATGTCATAACGTAAAGCAAGTCACCCATAATATTGCAAATCGTTCTTGTATTAAGCAACTCCCAACCAGTCCTTGAAATGAACACTATTAGTTGTGTCATACAACCTCGTGCGTACAACGAAATCCTTTAAACGTCGTCATTAAGGCACCCAACCTTAAAATGACGGCCTTACTGTGTGAATAATAAAAAATAAAAGAAATTCTCTAAGGCTAAGGACTGAATATCCAAATATATATTTACTTTGTAATCTAACAAGAAATATTTTCTAATTAAAATTGTGTCTATAAACTTCTTAACGTGAGTCATCGAATATTGTGAGCCGGTTTAACAAGATTTTTATCATATCAGCGGTTATGGTAAGTAATGTTAAGATAGTTATCGAGATGAAAAAAATGTTACATAGATCCTTGTACATAGATATAGATCTATATGTATATCTATAGATAAAATTTTCAACATAAATACCACTTGAACCTGTGACTTCAAACTTATGGCTTTTCAGTAGTAGTGGTCAGTTTTGACTAACTTTATACAATTTTAAACCACGATCTCAAATAAAAGAATCCGTAATTATTGAAACAAGTTAGGATGATTTTTATTAAGAAGTAGATATATCTACTTAGTTCTTTAAAAAAATATATTCTTAAATATTTTTATATTGTAATAATATTTTTTTTTTTGCATGAATAAAATATAGCATTATTATTGATTTTTTATTTTTAACTCGTACACGATCTCCGGAATTTTAGTTTCGAATCCTCAATACTCACAAGTTTGCGTCCACACTACGTACGAAGCGTTTTCAAGTTTTAAATTAGAAATCTTAAAAAATATAGCATTAACGTAGATTAATGTGTGAAAATCGAAAGACACTTCGTTTGTTGTGTGCTAAAGAAAAATCTAGGTACGCAGTTTGTAGTTTCATAGTATGTTTATAGTAGTATTATTCCACAAACATACATATTTTTACAAATTCATATATACATAGGTAAAATGGATTGTATCAATTAATAACACATGCGACGTGTAAACATTTTTATTCAATACACGACCTTTCCTCGTAGTAACATCCGAATTCTTAATATCTGGAATACCAATATAGGTATTTTCATTAATAGTTGTCAAAAATGTATAAACAAGTTGAATTTCTAAACCAGAATTTTCTTATTAAAATCTAGTTAGTAGGTACCAATGAGAACCCATAACTACGTATTTCTGTGAAGCATGATATATGTATAAATGTATTTACAGTAATAAGTATATTTGCTAGGCTTGTTTACATAGGATTTTGTTGCAAAAAGGTGTTCTATTCTTTATCATCTTACATTACATTCATCCGTGGTATCATAATACCTACTTGTAATATACTCGAACTACAGCATACAAACACCTAACTTATCGAGGTATTGTCTGTTTCTTTCAAAAATCCATACTAGACTGGGGAATCTGATATCGATATTCAATAGACAATAGCTATTAAACCTGACTTAGGTACGTCTCAATATTTTATATCTATACCTATTACTTACATTGGAACGGACTTAAAACGTGGCTTAAACTTATCCATGTTATAGAACTCAGAAATAAGAATATTTATAAACAGACATTCTTATATAGAATTATTTAAATAAAATATAAATTAAATTATATCGATACTAATATTACAAACGCCAAATTATGTTACTCACCTGTCACTGTCAATCATAACTACTTCATGTCATTGTCAGTGTTAATGAAGCCATAGAATTAAAAAAAGTACTTGATATGCACGTTATACGTCAAAATATACTTATAAAATAGTATGTGCTTTTATAAAAACATTTTATAATAGTTAATAACTAACATACAAAACAACAGATTATTTCATATGTTTCTTTATATGTAAGAAACTTAAGAAATATACATATATTTGAACTGACATATACAGTTTCCAAATTTCGTATATATAAAATCTAGTTGTAATATATTATATCAAGGAACCGGTATAATATCTTCCTTGTAATCTGATATTAGACACAATGTATGCACTCTTTATTGCACTTTTATAACTGGTTTATTAAGTTCCAAACGATTAAAATATGAATATAAATTATTACAGAATACATTGTTTAAAATCGATTACTTGTTAATGGATAGTAGCTCTTGATAGATTATATCTGAATGTCAAAGTAATATAAAACATTGTCATTTAATTTCATATTCCGTCTATTGAATGTTTTATAGTCATAATAGAATAGTAAAAATAAACATTTAAAATACATTTAATTGTATAAGTCAACAACAAAAAGTCTCATCATACCTACTTATATTTCATTATAAGGAAAATTGTTTTTACTTTTATATTTTTCCTTACTTTATAACCAAAACCGAATATTTTGATTTTAATTTGCAATTTAATAGAATACTCTGATTAGTGAGCACAGCTTTCGAAAATTTCCATAACAGTACTAGTCACATATTAAAAAGGATAAAATTCTATGGCATCGCAATAAAAAAATGGAGTCATTTTTTTATTTATTCTTCAGAACGCCTGAAAAAATATAAAAGTTTTAATGAATTAATACAATTAGAAGAGCGTTTTTTTAAAACGTGTTTTGTTCTTAGCCTACGGCTTAGATAGTGTCTTCAGAAAAAGGAGCAAGTTCTGACACAGACCTTTTACGAAGGGGCCTAAAAGAAGGTTATGTAATTTAGCAGAGTACGTTTTATCCGTGAGCAATGTGTATTTGTAACAAAAAATATGCATGAGTTCATAAATATTGGTGCAGCGTTAATTAAAAAGTAATGAGTCGAAGTAAAGGCTTAGTAAAATAAAACAAAAATAATTATTTATAATATGTGGAACGTATCATCGGCCAGACTGATCATCAATTTGTGTTGAAATGCTAACTAACTCTTGAGTCTTTTCACTAATCCACAATTTATCTTAAAGGCTTTTAGGCAACACAGTTCTATACGAGAGTTCATGTTTGAATTTGAATCATT